GTGTTTTTTATTACGAAGTGTATCCAACTGATGTTTTTTTGAAGGTGATAATAATAATCTAGTAGATTTACCAGCAGATAATCTTGATTTTTTCATCCGAAATGCAATTCTTAATCTATCGCAAAACATACATTTAGTTTTAATAGATGAAATATCAATTAAAAATGTGCATTTTTTATGTCGCCAATGATTTTGAACTATATCTGCACATTCAACTGTTATTCCATCAAATTCTCTAACTAAAGGTCCACCTTTACAAACTTGTTTAGTGCTAACAGCATTTAAAACTAAAATCAGTTCATCAAATGTCAACACTTTTAAATTTGGACGTATATCTTGAATGTCAACAAATACATCATATAATTTACATTTAACAATCATATCCGTTTCAAGAGATATCTGTTTTTCAATAAAAACTCCAACCTCATTTTCATTACATTGTACCGTATAAAATGTAATACTTGTATTTTTTCCTCTGTTGATTTCATATTTCCAATTATCTGGAAGTTTAGTCAACTCAATTTCCCTACACATGTTTTCAAAGTATTCTATAGTAGGAATGATAGAAGATTTAAGAAATACAGAAGTTTCTTGATTCAATACATCCTTATTTATAACAGTTTCAGACAGTTTAGAATCAACCTATATAAACAAATATACTAGGTATTATTATTATAACCAAACATAAAGTTCATATTGGTTATAGGTAAACATAATAATATGAATAGGTATTAAAATAATTTTCATCCGTGAGTACCTATATAAAATATATTGTATAAGTAAAAATATTTAATGTAATAGTTCAAAATTACTTCGGTTAGTTTTATGCTTTTAGAATTCCTACAATTACTACCCAAAGAAACTCTTTTTGTGGGAGATTTCCTTTTTTTCTGTGGATTAGACAAATATTTTGGTCCAGGAAACAAGCATGGTATTGCATTTTTTTGCAGTTTTGGAATCTTCAAGTCTATCTGAAAATAGTAGGTAATGTTAATAAAAAAACTAACTTCATGAAAATCATATTACTGTAGTATTAATTAAAGACCTTTGTATTTTTTAACCCATTAAGTACCTGTAAGTACGTAATTAATGTTATAATGTTTAAATAGTAGGTAATATCAAATTTACTTTATTATAGGTACCTATTGTGTGTATTATAATAAGTTATTATTTTATGGTACATATTTCTAAGGATATTAGAGAATACAAATCCGGAATCTAATAATAACATTTAATTACTAATACATCCTTTGGAATCATATAGTTTTTAAATAAAGTAAATAATACAAAATTGGATAGGTAGGTACTTACAACAACTTTTTGTTCACCTACTCCTGATGTCCATTTTGTGATAATTTGATCAGCAGTAAAATGCTTAGCACAAATAGCTGCATTTTTAGATACAATAAAATCCTTCCTTGGTATTGCTTTGATCCATTTATTCTGCATCTCTTCATTTTTTGGGAACGAAAAAGTTGACACTTTTTCATCGTTGGATTTATACCCAGTTTGACACCCAACC